CCCCCCCCCCCCCCCCCCCCCCCCCCCGACACATGCACACATCTTGCCTCAGTTTACTTACACTTGACTGTACTACGGCACCATTTTCTTTATTTTCCATATACACCAGTTCATTTCTCGGTCTCTTCATGGCAACTACGGCCATGTCCTGAGCTTTCCTCTTTCCAGCTTCCATTTTTGAGCTTGGAAAATGTATATTAAATGGCTTAAAATACGATTTACAACATAAACAATGCCGCCGGCTTGGGCGACCTACAGACAGACGGAAAACAGGAAGTTGCATCCCAGAGTTCCTTGCGTTCAAGACAAACCCGTGCCCTTGTTGCAGACGAATCCTTGGCATGTGGAGTACAAAACCGAGTGAGTAAGATTTTAGAAAATTAAAAGCTGCAGTAATGTCATATGGCTGTAAGTTATAAAAGATTACAAAGTATATTAGGTATAATGAAAGGCAGTTTTTGAAATGGAGAGAAAAGGCTGTAAAAATAAGCAAATCACCCTTGCATCTCCTTGATTTTATAATTATAGCCTTACAGTACACTGCACAGTAGAGCCTAGAGGAAAATGAGAAGTACAGTGTTGTTTTATGTATCCTTGCTACTTACAACTTAAGTACTATTTGATTCTAAAGATTAGACAAATCAAACCGATATGCTAACTTTCAGTTAAACAATTTAATATCACCCTATTTGTGTTTAGTTTGTAAGGAAATTGTTACCATTCTTTTCATAGTTGCTGGTGATTCATGTCAGAATGATTGTGTTACTGAAGAGGAGTCACAGAAAATTTGGCTATCACTTAAGACAACTGTGCAATCATCGGCGAGATCTGTCCATTGTAGCTGATACTACAAATATCACAGGACTGCCCCGATGTGTTTACCTCTCCAAATCCAACAACATTTTTGAGAACCTGGCTTTGGAGGATTGGATTTATGAAAACACAGACTTTGAGAAGCAGAATGTGCTTTTGTTGTGGAGAAATGAACCGACAGTGGTGGGTGAAAACATTGTGTGGGTTCAAAGTTCTCAGCCAGCTGCTCACTTAGACTGCAAATCAAGCACAAGTAAAATTCTACATTATGATATACGAGAGTGGCTCAATAATTGAAAACATAGAACTCAAAATTAGGTTTGTGGAAAGTAGTTTTGGGAACAACTTTGAATATAGTATATACCTTGTTTATAAAAGAAGCAGTATTGAAATGTAAAGTGCAAGGAAAAATACATTTTTGCTTTGTAAATGCCTAACACAGTTCTGTGGCTGTAAAATACCTGATAAAAATTGGATATCTTTTTGAGTACAAAGTTTTGGAGAGAAATCATTACCACATTATCAAAAATCCATAACCATTTACAGTGTAATTTAAATTTTATGTAGTTGATTGTATTTATATTGTTCATTAAAATTTTCATTCTTTTAAGAAACATGTATAATCTTAAAAATCAATGCAGCACTATATAGAAAATTTTATTTTCTACTTCAGGTAGTAGGGAGACATCAGAATCCATGGAAAGAATGCAATGTCTTCAAACTACAGAATCTCTCAGTTCATCTAGCCAGGAGGAAGAGTGGTGGAGGCACTGTCTACCATGACTTGGGGAATCTGAACTGCACTTTCTTCACCACCAAGACTCAGTACAACAGAGACAGAAATCTGCTCTTGGTGGCCAAGGCTGTGAACCAAAGATGGGGACTGGACTTGGCTATTAATGAGAGAGATGATATTGTTATGAATGGAAAATATAAGGTAACCAAATCTGCAAGTGATTTAACATTGTTCAATGTGTATAATATTATTCTTTTTTTTTCATTTGTGTTTATTATATTTTATTTTGTTTATTTTTCAATTATATATTCTCATTATCTTTGAAATGTTTATTTTTAAACCATATATGTTTTTAGGTTGTTTGTAATTTGAGTGTTATTTCATTACATTACTATTTCAGGTGTCTGGTACAGCAGCTAAACTTGGAAGGAAGTCAGCATACCACCACTTTACACTTCTATACAACACAAACCTGGACAGAGTTCACCAATTACTACATATCCACAAGGTATACAGAAATTTTTTTCATGGTCTATGTATCAGATGATTAAACTAAGTTATTGTTAATTTAATTTGGAGACTAAATGACATGGTCAAAATCGCAGGATCAAGGACCATAGATATTGGAATGAGATGTAGTGCTTGATTCACATTATTTAGTCTCTAATACCCCATTCACACTACGCTCAGTTATCCGGATAAGTTGCGAATTAGGTCACAATTCGAATAAATGCAGTAGTTCTTTTCTTTAATGCGCATTTTCAAAATCCTGCAAGCGAGGTGGATCTCTAAGCGCGAATAACTTACCGGAATCGACACCTGTACAGATCTTACTGCGCATGTGTGCAGATAAGTGCGGATATCTATGAACGCTTGTTTATTACTTTAGCGATTGCGCCAAACGTATTTGGAGGTCACCACTCACTACAACATGAGCAAACAAACTTATTTTGCCATCTTATACTTCTCAAGAATGCTGGAATGTCTTTTGAGTTGCATTTGTCGTCACAAATTTTTGTTGGTATTTTAAGATTTCCTGTGCGGCGCATGCGCCAGTGTTCAAAACAGGAAGTTAAACCTGAATTTTCAACGTGGGATTCGGATTCGCTTAGCGAGTGTGAACGCAATACCGAATCGAATTCCTCACGAAAAATCCGAATTATAGAAATGCGCATTTTTGCAACTGTAGTGTGAATGGGGTATAAGTTGGTAACAACTCTGTAATACAGTATACTATACACAATGTATCAGAGGTTGCATTCAGACAGTGACTCATGTTGGTTTGGGTCTGAAGTAAAAAAAAAAGAGATAAAGACATAGTTTCAAGTGTTAATTTTTTCTGGCACATTGAGTTAACTATGCACTTACAAAAAAAAGTTCATTTTTTTCAAGGCAAACATTCAATAACAATAAAAGTGTTTACCTTTTCCAAGGCAAGTATTGAAAATTTTAAAGTATAGGCAGCCCCAGCATTTTTTTTTTTAATTTTGAAGGCTAATATTGAAAACATAGCCCTAGCATTTTTTTTTAAATTTTATTTTGAAGGCAGTAATAATTAACACGGTCACACTGTCTACAATGAAAATTGTTTAATTTTTCAAGGCAGACATTAACAGCACGGCCACAGACAGTGTGAAGTCAAGTGTTCAGAACTTGTGCTGTGTGGAACCCAGCATTGATTTTGAATCTCTGACAGAAGCTGTTGCTAGGGAATATCTTCATAATGCACAGCAACAGGTAAGAAATCTTATATTACCTGGTAATATCCTTTAAAGGAAAAGATGGGTATTTATCTGTGACTTGTTTTCTTTAAAAAGAAAAAATAGGATTTTCCAATTTATTAAAGACATTTTGTATTTTCATTAATTGAGGTATATTTTAATACTAATTTAATACTAATTTAAACATTTTGAACAATCATTTGGTTGATAAACTCTTTAAAAAAAGTGAAAAGGGAATATTGGGATATCATTTTAGAACTCTGGGTTTTAACCACTTGCATGTTAAACTATGATAAAACACCTGGAAATTTTTTAGATAGTCACGAGAGTAAGCATTAAAATTTTGTATTAAAATTTCCAGGAAAATATAACAGAGTTGGACCCAACAGACGAGTCCAGATTTCCAGGGATTGAAAAAATCAGGGAGTCGTTAGAAAACTGGCAATGGGTTTACGGAAAAACTCCCGCATTTCATATTCAAAGGACTCGATGGATAGAAATTAATGAAAAACCATGTCAAATAACACTTAACATACACTTCTCTAAGGGAAGCATCTCCGATGTAAAGTTTGAATCCCCAGAAATTCAGATAAGCCAGGAGTTTAAGGATATCTTTCTAAAATATTTCAAAGGAGTTCGCATGAGGAGGGAGGATTTGGAAGTTGCAATAGATAATTTTCAGACTTCAGGACCATTTCACAGAAGCAGTTCATTAAGTCAATTTATAGTGTCTGTTTTATTGGACACTTTGACAGATAGGACGGCTGTAGATGTGGACGAAGTGGAAGTTTTATGATTATTGGTATAGAGATCTGTCACCATTAATAATTAATTAAAAAAATAAGGGTGCATAGTGCTTGATAGTTATAGATAATTGGAGAGGTGAAGTCTCCGCTTGGGCATGTACCACCTGGAGTTTGACTGCATGGACTGTTTCACAAACTTCGACCGAAATCGTAAAAATAATGAGTGAAAGAATAAATTGAGGGGATAACTGCCTCCTGGGCAAGTACCACCAGCTGGAAAAAATAAATTAACACATCTCTTTTCACCATTATTTATTTATTGTCAGTTTTATAACAATACACACTGTGACAATATTGTTTATCATGTAGAACAACGATAATTGCTTGATCTTTTCAATTGGGGAAAATTGTGAATTTTACAGATACTGTATTTCTTAAGTAATAATTTCTGAAAATTAAAACATTCCTATTGAGTGGTAGCAACAAAATTAAAGAGCAGGGTAGTCTTAGGGTGCTTTTCCAGAGATTTGGATCGATCTAAAGATTAAGTTTTAGATCGACCTAACTCCCTGGGGGTTCACGCTAAATTGTCAGCCGAGCGGGCACCATAGTTAATTACCCCCTTACAGCTTTTAGTAGGCGAGACAGACGCTTAAGCCGGCCAAGCTGACAGTAATCTAGTGAGACTCCCCACAGGGATAGATCGATCTAAAAATCTATGGAAATGGGGTGTTATAGTTCCATTCTGTACTGTAAAAGCACCACATATGCTATATAGAAATATAATTTTTGTGATTATAAAATTTTGTATCTGAAAGTTATTTTTTCCCATTGAAAAGATCGAATGATTACTGTATGCCACAAGGCTAGAGCTCCACCACAATTTTTGGGGGCTTAGACTTTTAAAATTGGATAACCGATGACATTAAGTGGACCTGGCAATACTGGTCTAAGAACCAAACTTTTAATAGAATAAATAAGTTTAACAAACAGTTTTTATTAAAATATACTGTAGCTGACTTATCCACTTAAACTTTTTTCATTACTGACACTCATGTCAATCAATAACTGCTTCACAGGCTTGGTTATTAGAGCAAAATAATAAGATGAGAATCCTTTTTAATTCTCTGTGAAATGCAATTAAGTCAGCTAAAATTATTAGCAGTCTCAATCTAAGTCCAAGTCCAATCTAAGGCTTTTCCAACAGTGAGAGCCTTTTTAACAGGGAGGCAAAAACACCAACATAAAATTATGGAAAAAAATTATTACACAACATGAAGTATTTGACAAAAAATGTTACAGCTAAGTATACAATTTCATCAAGTTAGTGTAGAATAAAGCAGTATTGCACATCATTTTAAATAAGTATACACCAAAGACACTACTTTCTCAACATTATTTGATAGCCTTAACAGATAATTACACAAAATTTTGAAAATGGCTAGAAGCACCTCAAGTTGAGTTTGACAGCAGAGCTCACTATTTATAAGATTATGCATGTTGTCATAACGAAAGCTATATACATTATGCCTTTCACAAAAAAGAGAGATTCTAGGTTTTAAAATATATGAATACATTGAATTATGGCTTGATAACCCACAACCATAAATGAGCTGTCATACTGCAAAAATAATAATATCAATAATTTTAAAAATAAAAAAAACAAGACATACAATGGATGTTAAAGTGAAAGAAGCAAAAAATAATTATAATAGTTTTCCAGGCATTTTTAACATCTTTTCCTTAAAGATTAAAATATACCCTGCCTGATGCCCTTAAGAAAATAACAATCTTTAAACTTGTTCTTGAGTTCTACATTCGTTATCTTTGTCATAGCTGCAATAATTCATCAGTTTAAATCTCCATCAGTATAGTAGAGTGACTTATAAATTAGCTACTTGTATGTTTTTTCAGCCTGATTTTACATGACATCTCTTTGTCATGTGTATACCCAAGTTTACATAATTTCTATAAATAATGGACTTACTGAAGAATAAACTTTAAATTAAGAAAATTATAATGAAAATGTGCCCTCAAAAGGAAAAATCAAACAATGTAAAAACTAATACATAATCTGGAATGTCTCATTAAAAACTTCCCCAGTGTATGTTCAGAATCTCATGACCAACTTGATATTAATTAAAATAATCCTGTATTTTAACTAATTAAGTGCCAGTGAAAGAAACCTGATTGGTCCTGATCATTTTTAACACAAATAATATCCTTAATACTCCATTCATGATGATTACACATTTTAAAACACAGACACGTCAAATATTCATAAATAATTACATGAAGCTTTTTAGTCAGGGAAAATATCCACATTGATTTCAAAGTCAACGTATAAATTGGTCAAATTCTGCTGACTTGAAAGTTTCTATATCATGGACTTCAACAACTGAGTAAGTTGGTTATCTTTTAAACTCTAGTTAATTGATATTTCTATTTAAGTAAACATATATTCAATAGTAGAGTGTCTGAGGTTCATAACACCTATTATTATAGGTAATTATAGTAAGTAACAAATGGAACAAATGGAATGTTTAATTCAAAACCATACACTACTGCTCACTGCAACTAAAACAGGACTTGTCTAAATAGCCTGATGACGTTTAATGATGCAATTTAGTCAATTTCCAGTTTAAGTTAGACATGATATAAACACCACTTTTTACACCATCTTTTCATTATTTTTACAACAACAAAAACATTTCTACAACAATTTTTCACAATCTTTTGCAATCCCTTTTCAAATAAATTATTAAGCTAAAAAAATCCAACATCCAAATCAAAAATGCGCTGAGGCACCGCCATTTCTTTGATCAGCTGATGCTGCAAAGTCTTCGTTGAACTTGGACGCAAACTGGACGAAATTCAGAGGCTCTGGCCACGTCGCTATGGTGTGACCTTTGCTTTCAAGTTCACTCTGGATTGAGGCTGGAAAACCGCCTGCAGAAAATAAAAAAGAATCCATGTTATGACAGTATATTTACAAAACCTAACAGACTATTATTATATTCTCTGAGATGAAAAAGGACCTGACAGTGTTTAGAAATCCCGAAAATAGAAGCATCAAAGCCATGCAGCTATATATGGGTAAAATCTTAATGTGTGCTTGCTTATTATGTTGATGAGTTAATGCATTATGAGTTAAACACATCACTTTAGTCTGGTTTGTGCATTTAGAGTTACACTGAGATTATGCGAGGTATGATTGTGTTATTTGTGATCGCCATATTACCATTGTTGTGTTATTGTTTGAGTATGTAGAGTATCTATGCGACTATGGAAGGCGTGATTGTGTTAGTTGTGATAGCCATATCTCAACCAATGTCTCAACTAATGCAATATTCCAATAATCACAACAAACACACTTTTTACCTTCTACATCAATGTCAGCCTGGCTTACAGAACTGCTGTAGTGGTCCAGGCAGAGACGTGGCAATTGTATGGAAGTTTTGATATCTTGGCTGAATGTCACCAAGTTCAGCAGGGCTTGGACCAATCCTACATTCATGATGCAGAAAAGAATGTATAAATAGTATCATGAATTTATATAATGTTCACACACACACACACACACACACACACACACACATGTGCACATGCATGTACAAACACACACTCACACTGTACTTTTGTGATAAGACGAGAGAGGGAGAATTAATGAATATTAAAAGAGAAATTTAATCAAACTGAGAGAGAGGGAGACTGACTGCCACCTACCTGCCACTGTCTCCGTGCCATTAGTCCCACCAAAAGTTGCTCGTAAGCTGCAGGGCTTATCATGAGAGTAGAACACGGCTGGAGCCATACCAGTCAGAGGTCTCATGTTTGGTGCAACAACATTGTTCTAGAAAAAGAAATTTCTGAGGATTATAAATACAGTACACCTTGATGAAGTCCTATTGATAAGGATGCACCATCATCATCATCATCATTGTTGTAATATTTTTATTTTATTTTATTTTATTTTATCTTATTTTATTTTATTATTTTTTAAAGTCCAATAAATTATTTGAAGTTGATTTTTCAAAGATATTGATTTGGCCAGAGTGGTGGGAATGTCCAAGATTTACTTTAATTATTTTTTCCATTATCTACACATCTCTTTATTTGTATTTAGATTAGCAGTTTTCTCAGGCTAAGAATGTTACTTACAGGGTTGGGTTTGCTGTCAGTTTGTGATGAAAATGCTGACATTCCTGCATTGAGAATTATGCCAGAAGAAGTCATGATTTTACTGCCAAACCACTGCCCCAGACATCTGAAATACAAAATTTTTACACTGTTATAATACATGAAATCGCTACGCAACTTGTACGTATGGAATACCCAGAATAGCTTATTTTTCATACTTTTATATAAAATAAGACAAACACAAATTGACTTAAATCACTCTGGCCTTGTCTAAGTGCTGACCTTGACCCAATTATTTCAATCTTACCCCGTAACAGAGACCATCTGCTCTTTGGGACCAAATGCAGACACGAGATCCCTTCCACACAAACACAAATCACATACTTTACTTAAATCAGGTTGACCTTGTCTAAGTGCTGACCTTGACCCAATTATTTCAATCTTACCCCGTAACAGAGACCATTTGTTCTTTAGGACCAAACACAGACACATGCGATCCTCCTGTCATGACCTTCAGGGTGTTAGCTGTGCCATAGTCTGCCGCACTGGGTAAAACTCCCGAGTCTTTGATAGTATACCTTGTCAGGTTTGCAGCAGAAGAACTGAAAGTAAAACATATATATATATATATATATATATATATATATATATATATATATATATATATAATAGTCATGACTTTCTGGGCCATAGTCTGCTGCACTGGGTAAAACTCCTGAGTCTTTGACAGTATACCTTGTCAGGTTTGCAACAGAAGAACTGAAAGTAAAACATATATATATATATATATTATAGTCATGACTTTCTGGGCCATAGTCTGCTGCACTGGGTAAAACTCCTGAGTCTTTGACAGTATACCTTGTCAGGTTTGCAACAGAAGAACTGAAACTTAAATATATATATCTTAGTCATGACCTTCAGGGTGTTAGTTGTGCTGTAGTCTGCACTGGGTAACTCTTGAGTCTTTGATAGTATACCTTGTCAGGTTTGCAACAGAAGAACTGAAAGTAAAACATATTTATTATAGTCATGACTTTCTGTGCCATAGTCTGTCACACTGGGTAAAACTCCCGAGTCTTTGATAGTATACCTTGTCAGGTTTGCAGCAGAAGAACTGAAAGTAAAACATATTTATTATAGTCATGACTTTCTGTGCCATAGTCTGCTGCACTGGGTAAAACTCCAGAGTCTTTGATAGTATACCTCGTCAGGTTTGCACCAGAAGAACTGAAAGTAAAACATATATATTAAAGTCAGAAAGCAATACCGTAACTGGAACATAAATATCGCAGCACGGATATTCACTTTTTTGCCTGAAAAAATACAAACAGTGGTAATTGAATAACTGAAAGTAATACATTCACAATCACATTGGCCATAGGATTGAAATTGATAAAATTATACATCATAACCTTGAATATGACTTAAGCCAAAAAGTTTTTTGTTACAATGTATTCAATTCTGAATGGACAGGTTATTCCAAAATTATCTGAGTGGCAAATACTATCAAAAGTACAAAAATATTTATAGAGAAAAAAAACAACAACAACAAAAAAGTCTCCTTACTTAAACATTTCTTGTACCACCTTCTCTACAGTTTCTTTATTGCTGTCTCCCAGTTGCGACATCTTGTTGTAGCCAAACTTGAAAGTCTACAACAAACAAACATAAAAGATAAATTCAAAAAAGGCTTTCATATACAATGCCACTTAGCCCAAGTTCAAAACAGGGGTGAATATCTATCGACATCATTACTGTTATCACTACTATTATTATCTATCAACTGTTGTTATTAAGTAAATGATATTATTTTTATAATTATTATTATTTTCCAAGTGGCTCAGTATATTCAACATGTACATAAAACCCCAAATCCCTTACCTCAGCCAATCTATGGTACATAAGAGTTGTGTTGAAATCTTTGGCTGTCATCTCAAACTGGCTCAGTATATTCAACATGTACAGTAGTACGGGGCCAGCAGTGGGGGCTGCACTGCTCCAGACTCTGTACCCTGAAATATTAAAATTAAAATTAAAATTATTCATATTAATATTAACAATATATTTTTTTGGGGATGATACTTTCCCCAAATTATTGTAATTTAAAAACATTTATGACAAGCAAAGGATTAAAGAACAAAGATTCTGAAATCTCACTGAATCACAAAAATTATCATCATCATCACAGGCCCTGTATTAGAGTTTTAAATAAGCAAAAAAATGGATAGACTTAGTTATAAAACTGGCATGATTTTGAAAAGACCCCTTCTATCATATAAGGTCTAATAAATGTCACAGTAAACTTCTGCTGAAGTTCAGATTAGAAAGGCCTATATGTGAGGGAATCAGAATAAGGACATAATGGCCCGCATCGCCTATAAATGAAAAAAATACAGTGTACATCGCGTCTGAATGAAAAAGAAAGTGATGTGAAGCTTACCGCCATATGCCATCTCTAGGGGTTGTTCTTGGCTCACACTGTACTGGGTTAGATCTTCTGTAGTTATGATACCATTATAGCTTTGTAGCTGAAACAGTGGACAGGGAGTTAATATGCAGCCTCTCTCTCTCTCAATTTCTCATATGTATAATAAATGTTGTCTAACTTGGTGTGACCCAGGCTATTATGGACTTATGGACAATGTATTTTTTTCTCCACCTCTCTCTGTGTGTGTGTGTGTGTGTGTGTGTGTGTGTGTGTGTGTGTGTGTGTGTGTGTGTGTGTGTGTGTGTGTGTGTGTGTGTGTGTGTGTGTGTGTGTGTGTGTGTGTGTGTGTGTGTGTGTGTGTGTGTGTGTGTGTGTGTGTGTGTGTGTGTGTGTGTGTG